ATTTTTCGCAAACATAGCTTAAAATGTACGTGTCCGTTAACGTTTTCACTGAGGCATGGTCAAATTTCGCTTCGAGGACAATAACGTGAACAACAATAAAAAAAATCGTATTTTGAAAATTTCTTCATAAACTATATTTATTCAGCTTTCAGAAAATGTATACTTTGTTTGTGTTATACTATAAAGCCAGCGCGTTATTTAAGTTTGCGCGCATAGTGGTCGTAAACGTATCCTAATACCTTAAGCAACCGGGCACAGGACACGGCACGCCCATAATGTTTTCAAACGTTATTTACTCTTTGCTACTCTCTACAACAGAAGGAGCAGAGGACAGTGACGACCAGCAACTCATCATGTCTACAGACAACAGCAAGGACTCATCGATGAGCGAGGTATTCATGCTCTATCTGTAATACTCCCATTTCGAGTTTGTCTTTGCTCAGTCTTAGGCCCAGGTCAGACGCCGTAATTCACATAAGCCGAACCTAATACAGGGTAATAAGGTCATGTGAAGTACGGCGTCTGACCCAATTAAGTTCAACTGATTCAATTTGGACCGACTAAGTCGTTTTTCACGACTAGGTCACTCGTGAAGAACGACTGAAGATCGACTTCGGGTCAAACGCCGTACCTCACATGAGCCGATCCAAATGCATTAATTATGTTAATGCATGTTTTGGCCTCGTTTTCATTAACCATCACTAAAGCGCATGCCAGTTGAGCATTCTTCAAAGATGGCGGATGATTTTCGATTTTTCTGAGAATGTAAAGGAATGTTCCACTGGAAACCCTGAGGCCCCGTCCACACGTATCCGGAAATTTTTGTATCCGCAAATTATTTTTTGCGGATACGAAAATGTTTGCGTCCACACGCAGCGCATTCGAATCGTTTTCACCGTCCACATGTATCCGTTTTCGTAAAATTTGCGGATACGGACACAAAAATTTGCGGACACGTGTGGACGCAACCCGTATCCGTAAAGAAAAAATTGCGGATACAAAAATTTGCGGATACGTGTGGACGGGGCCTGAATGTTTTCTTAAACCGTTCATTTGAATAATTGTTCCAGACAATTTCAAACCAACCAAAATACGTGCAAAACGTTTACCTGCTCTTTCACGTACGTCCGTTTCATTTCGCGAAAGCAGAAGAAGAGCAGAAACAAAACATACACGTAGCAGTGCCACCCTTCTTTTTTGCAAAAGTATGATGCTTTTTTTGATGGTAGCCCGTCTTCTTCTTGAATTCAAAATTTTTTTTATTAGCAATATCCGGCGAGCTGCCATGGCAGACCCCATCATTATGATGCGTTTGCCGCTGCCCACTCAAACATGATTGTTTTTGGTACGACTGTAAATACTCGTACTTAGTTCGACGTTGGACTCAACCCAGTCGATCTAATTCCATAAGTCGATCCAAACTACRATTAGGTTCGGCTCATGTGAATTACGGCGTCTGACCTGGGCCTTAGCCTCGATTGTGTAAATATGTAAGGTCCATTGTATAGTAAGGAATGTACGTACTACGGAACAATACGAGTTGATTAAAATACCACGGGTTTTGGTTGAATAGCTGAATATTATAACACACAACCGAGACTAAAACTGAGCAAAGAGAACTCGAAACTGGAGTATAACGTTTTTTTAACTTTCACCAAGCAAAATAAATATCCAAAAATAAATACAATGAAAATCCACGAATTCAAATCTGGCACTAATGTCGTCTTTTTGCTTTCTTTTAGGGTCAAGATTTACCATCGTTTCTTATTCACCGGGCATGCCGTAATGATGTCTTGGCAAATTATTTCTACTGGTAAAAGTCTATTTAATTATATTTTTATACTAGAACATTGAGTGCCAATCGATGTGGAAAGAATGGGTTTCATATAAGAGGAGTTAGTGTACCCTGAAAATGAATTGCTAAGAGATCTCCATCTGTCTAAAACTCATTTGTGCTACCACTCCACTGTCTATTGTTCTTGATTCTCTTCTGTCAGCTGCTACGTCTCATAGAGCGGTTTTCATATGACTGGGAAAAGATAAATTCGTATCCGTACTTAAGCATTAAGCCGTACAGTAGAGCAGTTTTCGTAGAGCAGTTTTCGTATGACTGTGAAAAGCTCAGTGCCGTAAGTGTGACGTGCCGTGACCGTGCTACTTTCTGGAATTTTAATTGGCTGATTTTTTCATGCGCAATGTGATTAGTCTGGCATTGCCGTGACCTTGGCGTGACCGTGCCCGCACCGTGTTTATTCCGTGTTCCGGGTATTCGATGGGATGGAGAGTAAAAATTCTCGTGCAATGTGATTGGTCTGGCGTATCCCTTRCCGTGTGTTGGCCGTGTTCGTGCCGTGAATTTTTCAGACATACGAAAACTGCACTACTTCAGACCAACCCCATTGCTCGAGAATTTACTCTCCATCCAATCAAATGTCGGAACACGGCACAAACACGGCGCGTACACGTTCACGCCACAATCACAGCATGCATTACACGAGAAATTTTTTTTAGAAAATTGGCTATCTTACCGTAGCCGTAGCTACGCTTCGTGATTGGATGAATTACTAGAAGACAATGTGGGAAGCCATTTCAATGTTACAGCGTGTCATACCGTGTACATGCTGCTGGTAAGTAGCGTATATTTCTCGCACTCATACGAAAACGTCTCTATGTTTGTCTGTCCGCTTACCTCGTTCTCATTAGTGTATTTGGCAGCTTTTGTTTTATTACTAAGGTTAAAATTAAACGACGTTTGTTTTAAGGTACCTTCTTGTAGAATGTGGTGAAGACAAAGACAAGAAAGAATTCGATATCTTTCGTACCGTCATGAGAAGATTCAGTCAGGCGCTTATGAAGGTAAGCAGCAGTTACTTACCGAGGCCCCCACTGCAAGACGTTTATATTAACAAGTTCATCTACACCAAATTCGAAAATAGTTATCGGGTTCAAAAAGGTTAAATCATAAAAACTTGGTGAGTCACTGACGGTTAAATAGTTAATGGGGCTAAAATTGTGCTTAATGAAATTTTGCAGCTCTAAAACAAATATTCCAATTACCGAAAAAAGTATTTTGTCAATCTTCATGCATGCAAACACTCTCCAGAATACCCAGAATACCCCTCGGTCTTCCATGATTTATCGTTCTAAACCCGACAACGATATTTGACTTTGATGTATAATAGTTGATGGATTCGTTGTGTCGTCTCAGGGAGGCTGGGAGTTTCAAGTTCGTCGTAACATGCTGGCTAAACAAAACCAGTTTATCAATCATCTTGGGAGACTCATGAAGGAAGTGTCTCAGTTCAGCGGAAATCGAAGTAGAAAGGTAACGAATAGCGTTATAAAGTGGATTCCAGCTATAGATAGTAATGAGCCCTGCTTATTTACTCAGGCCCACCAGCTAAACTGAAGTAGTGACGTAGAAATGACGTCACTTCAACACTGAGGTGTCGTGAAGCTTGCGAAAATTCACCAACGAAAAATAAAAACATGCCCTCTATTGCATTAAAGTTATAAAACTCATTAATTATTGTGTCACTGATATCAAAAGCTTAATAACGTTTTTCCCTATTGGTGGCCTGGAAATCCATAATTTCAAGAGGAAAAGTGACACCTCAGTTTTGCAAATTTTCTCGATTCTGATTGGCTAACATTTTTTCTCAGATGCGTTGGCATAGCTTATGTCGATATCATGAGCTGTTGATTTACGTTCTCAAAAAACGCACGTCTCCCGGCCTACATCAGTTCAGATCAACTTAAAGTTACAAGAAAGATGGGATATTTAATACTGTCGGTCATATTAGGCCCCGTCCTCACTATGCCGGATAAATTTGAATCCGAATTGTTTTTATTCGGTTAGGCCTACCGTCCACACTAGTCCGGGCGAATCCGGAACAATTCTTCACCGAAAACGATTTTTTTCGAATACAGTCTCCAGAGTAGAACAATTTGAAAACGCCGGCAAGCCGTATTAGTGTGGACGGAGAACATTTCGTATCCGAATTTTTTCGGATAAGATGACGTCATGATTGTCATAAGAACATGGCGGGAAGGCTAAAATTCACCGCGGGCTCAATTTCAGCTTCGATGCACATGCTCAGATGTGCAAATGAAGCGTTTTTGCCGCCTTTGATTGGACTAGTGTAGACGCGAAACATTTTATTCATTTTCATGTGTGGACGGAAAACCTTTTTTTTCGGTTTCGGTGTGAAAATTTCGGATTCAAAGRTATCCGGCATAGTGTGGACGGGACCTTAGAAGGACCTTACCATAGGTAGCTCAACTAATAAAATGACAAAAAGCGCATGCACAACTGAAGTGGTGCTGAACTATTTGCCCCAAGATGCTTATTGATCGAAAATGTTTAAAGTTTGCGTCCAATGGACGCGGATTAACTACTTATTTATTATTCATGTGATGTTCAACAGATTCATCGCCTTCGCGAGCTTCTTGATTCGCCTGAACTGAGTAATTTCAGTCCCATTCCTCTCCCCGTCGATCCGGACGTCAAGATCAAGGGAATGGTAATAGGAACTCCCGAAGACAGTAAGTGCCGGCTCCATATGGAAAGGTCTTCGTTGCTTTCAATATTTGTTTATTTGCTCGTTCTTTTGTTTGTTTGATCTTCCACTTGCCTGCTTGCCTTCCTTCCTTCCTTCCTTCCTTTCTGTCTGTCTGTCTGTCTGTCTTTCTCATATTCTACGATACTAAACCACTGTCTTCTCTCAATGCTAGAAAAAGCCTGGTTGTTCAAGAGTCATTTAATGCCAGCAAAATTCACATTCTTATCCGTGGATGAGAGAGAATATGTTGTAAGTACTTTAAGTACTCTTATCGTTTGATCTCTGACAAATATAATTCCTCAATTATAATTCAAATCTTTTACATGCATAGACCATGTTCAAGTCTGGAGACGATTTAAGACAGGATCAACTTATTCTACAGATCATACGGCTGATGGATAAGGTAAAATGTTCATTACGTACTTTATATGCTATTAATTAAGAGCAGGAGACAAATATGAAAAGACAAGAATGAAAACAAAGCAATTCTCTCGATGGACCACTTTGTTTGTACCGTTCCAGTAAATATTTAAGTAAACACTATTAAACAGCAAAAGTTTCGTTGTAAGTGTGTGTATGTGTATGT